ATCATGAAAAACAGTCCAACTTCAAGTAAAAATGAAGAACATCAGTCACACACATGAAAGCAGTTACACTGTAGATACACTGCTCCAAAAAATAATGCAACACATCTCATTTAGGAATGATAGGATGCCACATTGCATAATGGAAATGAAAATGATCAACATACAGAGGGCTGAATTCTAAAACACCACAAAAATCAAAGTGAAAAATGATGAGGCAGGCTAGTCCAGTTTGTCAAGCAACTCAAAATGGTACTCAGTCTTTTGTATCGCCGCTACCTGTTTGTGCCCATCATTAATAACATTGCATCATGTTCCTAATGAGACGACAGATGATGTCCTGGGGGATCTTCTTCCAGATTGACCAAGGCGTCACTGAGCTCCTGGACAGTTTGAGGTGCAAACTGGTGTCCCAGAGGTGTTGTACTGGATTTAGCTCAGCCAGTTAATGTGTGAACCTGCTCTCATCTGTGAAAGCACAGGCCAGCAGAGGTGGACCTGCCACTTCTGGTATTCTATGCTAACTGACAATCGGGCTCCACTGCCAGGAAGTGAACACGGGACCCTGTGAGGATGTTGGACCCTCAGACCACCCTCGTGAAGTCTATATGTGATTGTTTGGACAGGGACGTTCACACCACTGGCCTGCTGGTTGTCATTTTCTTGCTCTGGCAGCTCTCATTCAGCTCCTCTTTGCACAAAGGAGCAGATACTGATCCCGCTGATGGGTTAAGAAACTTCTGTCCAGCTTTCTGCCCGTTTCCTGGAATCTCCTCCATTGTCTTGAGACTGTGCTGGGTGAAGTAGTAAACTTTCTAGTAACGGCACATATGTCGTCCTGGAGGAGCTGAACTACCTGTTCAACCTCTGTAGGGTTCAGGTATCGCCTCATGCTACCAGTAGTTACACTGACTATAGCCAAATGCAAAAGTTGTGAATAAAAAGCTCAAAAACAACCCCCCAAATCATTCCTGTTTTGGGGGTTGTTTCATTGCTGCCCCTCTGGTGCACCTGTAAACTGATTAACAAGCCCCTCTGCTACTTAACTGACCAGATCAATATCCTAGAAGTTTAACTGACCTGATGCTGTACTTTGAAAAGTCTTCCTTTAATTGTTTTTGTTTTGATTGATAGACGTCTAAATTCTGATGTGTGTATGTGTTCAGGGTCTCCAGAGGAAAAATCCAAACTCATGTTTTCTATGAACGACATTGGCGAAACTGGTTTCTTATCAAAAGAAGAATTTGCCAGGATGCTCAGGTTTGGTCTTTCCCCTTTTTTATGAGTGCACCACATTTATTCTGTGTGTTTTATGGGTCATTTTCAACCTTTTGATGAATTGCAGGTCTTTCATAGAAATCTCCAACGGTGCTCTTTCAAAGAGTCAGGCAGAGGACGGCATCAAGGCCATGATGCAGGCCGCGGGCTTTGATGACAAGGAGAAAATCTCGTGGGAGGACTTTCATTTTCTGCTGCGGGATCACGAGAAGGAGCTGCAGTTTGCTCAGCTCAATGTCAAAGGTTGGAGAAAGTTTTGTTTAAGAGCATCCTCCTTTTTCTGACCTTGTCTGATGCAGTTGTGTGTCTGGCATGTGCACAGGGATGGAGAAACAGGGGAAGAAGAAGCTGAGTCGAGACCAGAGAGTGTCCTTCATTTGTCCGGCAAACAGGTGAGAAAACTGGACGTCATCAACTCATTGACATCAAAAATGTTTGTAATACTTAAGACAAAAATCAGGGATTATTTATTTCTTTTATTCAGCTTGTATTTCTGTGATGTTCAATATTGTTTTGCTTTTTTTCAGCAGTCACAAGACAGACGGACCAGAGATACGCAAACGGAAAAGGTATGGTTTCTTTAAGTTCTTTAAAGAATGAAAATTATGAATACCAAGAAAGACAAAAGTGTACCACAGCTTTAAATAAAACCATACTTGGTGTGTGGACTGTATTTACAAGACAACCTAAATGCAAAACCAAAGCTGAGCCTTAATTAGGCTGATGAAGTTCAACAATCAAAGTAAATAAATAGAAAACAAACTAAAGGAAAATGGGGCAAAACTTTAAAAAAAGGCGTAAGCCTAAGTTGCAGAAGATGCCGTGAGTGACAAAGACAAGGCCCAATCACATTGAAGGACTGATGGACACACAGACAAAGACGGCAAGTGAGAACAAAAGAAGGCACACAGGAAAAGTAGTCTTCAAAGTAAGACATGAAATATTTTAAAGAGAGACATCGGCTGCTTGTCACTGTGCTAACATGTCTCCTGGCTTCCTTCACTTGGATCCTTTCCTTGCATTTCAACTCCACTCAGCAAGCATGTGAAAGAAAGAAAGAAAGAAAGAAAGAAAGAAAGAAAGAAAGAAAGAAAGAAAGTGAGGAAGTGAGGAAGGGGCAGCCCGAGCTGCCAGTTGAATCCTTGCTTGTGTTAGTCTTATACATCACTGAGGTGTGCCCTGCTGCACACCTGAATTACCTTTCAAATCCACAAGGATGGGGCAGTGATTAGCAGTGTTGCCTCACAGCAGGAAACGTTCATATCCACCAGCTGGGTGGGACCTTTTTCTGTGGTGTTTGCATGTTTTCTGTTTTCTTTTTGCATCTGTTTTAACACTTAGATTGGAAAACAAGACATTTTGAATAAAATGTAACAGGTTCAACTGTTTTCAGGTTAAACGTCCATACTCCAAATGTCTATGTGAAGCCAAAGCGCCAGAAGTACATAAAGAACACGGTCCAGCAGAAAATCCAGCAGTTCAAACGTTTCGTTGAGAATTATCGGCGTCACATTGTGTGCTTCATCATCGTGTACGGCATCACAGCTGGTGTTGCACTTGAAAGATGTTATTGTGAGTGGAAATCTTCCTTGTGTGTCCCCACTGCATCACAACCCCGTAGCATGTTCATTCCCCCCCGTCTAATCTGAATACAATTACTGTGCGCAGACTATGGCTTGCAGGCTGTATCTACAGGTGTCCCCGAGACATCCATGGTGGGTATCCTCGTGTCCCGTGGTTCAGCCGCTGCCATCTCCTTTCTGTTTCCTTACATGCTTCTCACCGTGTGTCGCAACCTCATCACGCTCTGCCGAGAGACCTTCCTGAATCGATACATCCCCTTTGACGCTGCCATTGACTTTCATCGCTTTATGGCCATGAGTGCCATCATCCTCTCAAGTCGGTATTCATGAGAAGGATGGTCACGATTTGATGTTTGGTGATATAAATATTCATGTGGTGCTCACTGTTTTCTGTGTTTTCATTACAGTTGTTCACAGTTTGGGCCACGTGGTCAACATCTACGTCTTCTCCGTCAGCGACCTTAACATCCTATCTTGTCTCTTCCCAAAAGTCGTAGTAAACAACGGGTAAGACTTCAAACATGCAGATGTAGATGTAGCAGATTTTGGAATTTTATCCCAGTTTATGTTTAGCGTGTTTTCCTTTTAGGTCTGAACTTCCTCCCAAGTGGTACTGGTGGTTCTTTCAAACTGTTCCAGGTATGCTATGAAATAGTTGATTACAGACATGCTGCAGTATTACTTTTTTAATAATTAATTTGCTTGCTCTGCATTTTTCTTTTCTTATAGGAATGACTGGGGTCTTGCTTCTCTTTGCGTTCGCATTCATGTACGTTTTTGCCTCACACTATTTCCGTCGCATCAGTTTTCGTGCATTTTGGATCACCCATTACCTCTATGTTGCCGTGTACATTCTTGTAAGTACTATTTGGGTTTAAAGCGCACAACTGAGGCAGTTTTGAACAGCGGTGTGATACCAGCTTTGGTTTTGTCCTGACAGACAGTTATTCATGGCAGTTTCGCTCTGCTTCAAGAGCCTAGTTTCCACATCTACCTCATCCCACCTGGCCTGCTCTTCCTTCTGGACAAACTAATCAGCCTGAGTAGGAAGAAGGTGGAGATCCCGGTTATCAGAGCTGAGCTGCTGCCATCAGGTGACTCTTTCGGGAGATTAAACATGGCTTTTCTCTATTAAATGGCTCATTGTTCTGTCTCGACCTGATTTCTGGTAATGAAAATGTTGCATTGTCTTCACTGAAATCGTGCAATGTGTTTGTGCATGACTTATCCTACCTGCAGGTGTGACACATCTGGAATTCAAGCGGCCACAGGGCTTTGTTTACCGTTCGGGCCAGTGGGTTCGCATAGCATGTCTGATGTTGGGCACGGATGAGTACCACCCATTCACTCTCACATCAGCTCCTCATGAAGAGACGTTGAGCCTGCACATCCGAGCTGTGGGGCCGTGGACCAGCCAGCTCAGAGAGCTCTACACCGAGGAAAACCTGCTGGAGCTTGGAGCTTTTCCAAAGGTAGGTTGTTTTTGCATGTGGTTTCATCTGAATCTCAATTATTTTCATGGCACTGGTATTCATCTTTCACTTCACCCTAAGCTGTACTTGGATGGACCTTTTGGCGAGGGCCATCAGGAGTGGATTGACTTTGAGGTGTCTGTTCTGGTGGGAGGAGGAATTGGAGTCACCCCGTTCACTTCAATTCTCAAAGACCTGGTGTTCAAGTCCTCTGTCAAGTCCAAGGTTTTGTGCAAAAAAGTGAGTCTTGAATGAAACAACCACAAACACATTTTATCTTGAAATTCTCCTCCTAACAGTCCTGTACTTTTTCAGGTTTACTTCATCTGGGTGACACGGACACAGCGTCAGTTTGAGTGGGTGTCAGACATCATCAGGGAGGTGGAAGAAATGGACACTCACGATCTGGTGTCGGTCCACACTTATATCACTCAGGTGGCCGAAAAGTTCGACCTGCGCACGACCATGCTGGTGAGATCTGCAGTCACCATTTCAAAGTATCACATGAAATAGAGAGTGTAGTGAAATGTATTTAAACCTTTATCAAACAATTAAATCAATATTTGTATTAAAGGGATTGTTTAGGACAGTGGTGTTCAAATCCAGGCCTCGAGGGCTGGTGTCCTGCAGGTTTTAGATGTGTCCTTGATCCATCACAGCTGATTTAAATGGCTAAATGACCTCCTCAACATGTCTTGAAGTTCTCCAAAGGCCTGGTAATGAACTAATCATTTGATTCAGGTGTGTTGACCCAGGGTGAGATCTAAAACCTGCAGGACACCGGCCCTCAAGGCCTGGAGTTGGCCAAACCTGGTTTAGGATATCAAATGCCTTGATGAGAGTTAGATGACAAGATTCATGTCACTAACAAGGAAGCTAACCTGTGCAAAACATCTGTAAAGCTGGCTATTAAACACATTACATCTTATTTGTCTATTTTTTATAAAACCTTTACTTTGCTGATTTCTTAGCAGAATCGCTTTCATGGGCACGATTAGAATTTGCTTCGTTCCTATTGAACAGTCAGAGCAAGTGCTCCTTTGAAACCATTTTTTACAGGTCAAACAAATAGAATAGAGCACATGACTGAGTTTCAAGGGCTGTTTTCCCTGGTTTCCAGACTTTTAGCTGAAGTTTTGAGTCATCCATTAATTAGAAAGCTCCTCCATTTAGCATGTCAAAAAGTGTCCTTAGGCAATATACCGGTGCCCTCGGTGCATCTCTTAGAGTGTGAAAAATGATATTATGCATAGAGTATAGATTTGTTTGAATCCCACTCGTAGTACAAAATATGCAAATTTATTGTAATTACCCAAACCGCTATCAATCTTCCCATGTGAGGAAAGTTAATAAGTGGGCTAACATTAAACAACCAGAGACTTAGTGTTTTAATGGTCACGGGTCACAAAACTAGAGAACCAAAGAAAACAAGATTAACAGCCAAACAGAAACATGAAGGGAGTAGCATCCCTGAACCTGGTGTGTGTTTCTGTAAACATGCAAGACTGACATCTTGCTTAGTTTTCAGAGTTTGGTGAGTGTCTTAAACAGCAAGATACTACAGCGCAATCAGTGTAGAAAACAAAAAAGAAAAAAGCTACAATGAACCTGTAATTGAAAGCTCCACTAGAATGAGACACAGGAAGGCTGCTGAGACTGAATCCCAGCTGCCCTGAAAGGCAGTCTAACGACACTTTTAAAGCAAATGAAGTGATAACTCTTGTCAGGATTCACATGAGCACTGTACTCACTAATGAATTTCCCCATCTTTGTGTGTGCAGTATGTGTGTGAGCGCCATTTTCAAAAAGTGTGGAACCGCAGCCTCTTCACCGGCCTCAGGTCCGTCACCCACTTTGGCCGCCCGCCCTTCGTCTCCTTTTTTAGCTCCCTGCAGGAGGTTCATCCAGAGGTCAGGCCTTCATCCGTCCTTATTTACCCGACGGAGGACATGAGTGGATTATTCTAACGTCTGAATTTATCATTTTCTTTAGGTGGGTAAAATTGGTGTGTTCAGCTGTGGTCCTCCAGGACTGACCAAAAATGTGGAGAAAGCTTGCCAGCAGATGAACAAGAGGGATCAGGCCCATTTCATACATCACTATGAAAACTTCTAACTTATTTACAGAAAGAACAAAACTAGCCATGTTTATGTGGTAAGAATGGTAGAGCCATTTTGGTAGACTTTAGTTTTTATTTTAATTACTTGAATTACTTGAAGGATACAACCTGATACATTTTAATCCAATCATGAACATCATTGTAAATTAGAATCAATAATCGTATATCTTGTGAGAAATAATGCACCTATAATTTGTCAAATCATTTTTATTCATTGTGAATCTTTTGAGTGTTTTTACCTGAAGTGTATGGCCGGTTTATATTGTTGATTTCTTGCTTTATTGTATCTGTATAAATTTGAGAAATAAACAAACATTATACATTAAAAATCTGGAGGGTTTTGTGCTGCTTTTGGCTACTTCTGCAAGCTTTTGGACTAAACATTCACTTCAATAACCAAAACTCCTAAAATGGATTTGCTGGTTGAGTGGTAAGCCAGACAAGCCTCACTGCAATAAACAGCGGATTGCATTTATTGGTTTGCTTATCAAACACACTTAAGATCAGATGGGTGGATGCACGGGTATCATAAAGTTCTAGTTTAACTTCAAGCACGAGATACAAGCTGACGTGACCACAGAAGCACTTAAAAGTATTTTGCACTGGTAAATTTTTTACTTGGCTGGCACAGGTGGTAGGAAAACACAGAGGATTTACCGTAACTGTGTGTGTTGTTTAGCTAAACCTCTCTGTTGGTGCATAACAGTCAAGAATATTTCACCAAGGCTCTGAAGCATGACTGGGTCTAATGATTGCTGTTCTTCACCTTGCACACAGTTTCACAAATTGAAACTATTGTCCAGCTTGATGCATCTGATCTGACAGACACTGAGAAGCTTCACTGGAGTAGCTGAGGTGAAAGGCCTTAAGAGGTTCTGAGCAGCACTAATGAGGAAGACATGGTCTTTGAAGTAATATGGATTTTGTGCCTCTGGGTCAATTTTATTTCAAAGCAGTTCATAACAACAGTTGTCCTGAGGTGCTTTTTGTTTTAAGGTAAAGACTGTAATTTTAGGGGGACAACCCCAACTGTCAGACCATTTACCATTTGGCAAAGGTGAGAAGGAAGAACTCCTTTTTCTAAATGTTTATTTATAACATTTAGAAATAACTCCTTTTTAACAGGAGAAAACTTCCAGGAGAAGCAGGCTCAGGGTTATTCAAATACACCAGTTGGTGGGTTAGTCTCAAGAAAGAAAAGGAGAGCAGAGAGACAAAAATTAGTGACACACAAAAGAGACACATAACCACACAGGGAGTCAAGAGAGGGCATCAGAGAGGAAATGCTCAGTGCACCGTTGGGAAATTGTTGGGAAAACAGCCTGAGACTACTGCAGCACGCCTAAGGCAAGGTTCAGGGTCACTGGATCCTGGAACTGTAAGGTTTAACAAAAAAAAAAGAAGAAGAAAATTTAAACTCTAATCCTTAAAGTAGAGATAGTGTCCGTGTCCTGAGCCCAGAGTGGAAGCTGGTTGCATAGTAGAGTCACCTAAAAAAAAGCATCCTCCCAGTCTCTAAGAAGCACAAGTAAGCCACAGTGAAGGTAATCTAAGAGCAAAGATTAGGATTATATGGCCCTTCACAGGCCTGACAAGGATTTCATAAACATCTTTACTGAGACTGTGGATGACTACAACACTGCAGGTCAACTGATTTCAAAAGGTTCAGAGTTTTTATTGTGACACTTACTAATCTTATGTTGCCATATTTAGAGTACTGTGTGGAAGTCTGGGGTAATACATATGAAACTTTGCTTCAACTGTCACGTAGACTTTAGGAAAAAAAAGCAATCGGTATCATGTATCAAGCCAGAATTTAGAAACCACACTAACATTTTGTTTTCAAAGTCAAAAATCTTGAAGTTCATGGAACTCATAAAATAAATTAAAAATTAAATTAAATTAAAGAGAGAAGAAAAGAAAATTAAATTTAATGCTGATATAATTGACCATTTTATACGTGTGTGTGTGTGTGCGTGCGTGCAGAAATCTGTGTATGTGCATGCCAATCAATCATTGATTGTATGTGCATATGTGAGTATATTGGTTTGTTTATTTTATATGTCCGAAATAGTTGTCATCATCATTCTCATCGTCTCGTCTCTGACATCTGCTCTCCGTGCAATAACACTTAAAAAGACTAAAATTAGCAAATGAATAGAATCTAAACTAAAACTAAACATTTTCAAACCATGAAACCTGCACTGGAGACTAATGGAAATGAAACTGAGATTGAAACTAAAATAAAATAAAAGTTCACACTGATTTGAAAATGCAAAAGCTACAATAACTCGGTCACTGACTTCCTTGGGAGATAAAAGGTTATCTAAAGAAATCATTTGGAAGTTTATTGTGCCAATCAGGAGACCAGGAAGTAAAGTTACATTGCTGGGAAACTGTTTGCAAGACGCAGTATATAAATTCTTACTTGGAAACACCTGTAGAGACTAATATGAGAAGCAAGAGGTGAACATTTCCTTGTTTTTATAATGTGTAAAGATCACATGAGTCATTACTCATTGTCACAAAGAGCGTCTCACGCTATTAGAATTATTCTGTAGAACAAAGGTGACACAGGATATGGTCATTCTGCTGTTTACTCCTTCATATCAGCACCTATCAGCAATTTTCCTACTGCTGACAGTTAGTTACAGTAATAAATACAGTAAGCATGGTTACAACTGTTGTACTCTAAGACCGCTGGCTTACAGTACAACTTCCACAAACGTCCCAAGGATGTGCCATACCCTTAATTTATCATCATGCCTCTGTCACCTACATTCACTCATTTTAAAATTTCGAAATTTAGTGTCACGGCGGGATGCGCCGGAGTGTTTAGATTTCAGGACCCAGATGCAGATGCAGAGAGAGAGGCGTTACAGGAGACGTGACGGGGCTTTAACAAAAGGCGAGCTTTATTTAGCTGGTTGCAGGCAAAGCATGAAACTAAGAAAGCAAAGAAGACTGAACACTGTGCAACTAAAGACTATGAAACTCAGTGAAAAAACTATGAAGAAACCATGAACACTGAGTAACTATGAACACAATGAAAACAAAACCCATGACTGAGAGATAACAGACGACGCGAACGTGAACACAGGAAGACTAAGGACATAAATGCACACATGAGGTGATCAGGGGAAGTGGAGACACATGAGGACACAGCTGACTAGAATTAAACATAATGACAACACAGGGGAGAGTTAATCTAACCGCACGAACACAGAACACACACAACCTTTTTTAAAATAAAACAGGAAACATAACGAGACACAGACATGACTCGAACTTGACAAACAACGAAAACTTGGACATGAAACATGACAGAAACACATGTAGACTTAACATGACAGGCTGACACGGCAGACTTAACACAGGGATGAGACAAATAATAATAATAATAATAATAACTTTATTTATAAAGCGCTTTCAAACAAAGTGCTGTACAACTATTTAAAACTAAAAAAATAAAAAATAAATAAAAGCAATACATAGCAATACAGGTAAAAGACACAATACAAGTTAAAAACAGTAAAAATGTAAAAACTAAAAGATGTAAGATAGGGTGAACAAATGTGTCTTCAGCTTAGTTTTAAAAACCTCCACAGAGCATGCCTGCCTAATATCTTGAGGGAGGGTGTTCCACAGAAACGGGGCACGAAAAGAAAAAGCATGCTCTCCAATTGTCTTTTTTCTGGCTCTAGGAACCTTTAGAAGGCCAGAGTCCTGAGATCGGAGAGCACGGGATGGAACGTAAAGATGTAAAAGGTCGGAGAGGTATGAAGGTGCCAGTCCGTTTAAAGCCTTGTAGGTGAGCAGCAGGATCTTAAAATCTGCTCGAACCTGACAAGGTAGCCAATGAAGAGAGTTCAGTACGGGGCTAATGTGCTCAAATTTCCCAGTTCTTGTTAAAATGCGAGCAGCTGCATTTTGCACCATCTGTAGACCTCTAAAACTTTTCTTTGGTAGCCCAGAAAGAAGAGCATTGCAATAATCAATGTGTGACACAAAAGCATGGACAAGAACCTCTGCAGTGTCGCTTGACAAAACTTGTCTGATTCTGGCGATGTTCCTCAAATGATAAAAGGCGGTCTTTGTTATCTCTTTTACATGAGACTCGAAAGAGAGCACCATGTCGAACCACACGCCCAAGTTTTTTACCTTGTCCCTACAATTTATGACCCTGTCATCAATTCTCAAGATGAAATTCTGGGACAAGTGCTGAAATTTGTGTGGCCCAATGACCATAAACTCTGTTTTATCAGTATTTAGGAGCAAGAAATTATCCGATAACCAGCCCTTAATTGCAGATAGACAAGATTCTAGTTTAGAGACTTCAGCACAATTTCCAATGGTTAAAGGAACATAAATGGTAAATGATAAATGGCCTGTATTTGTATAGCGCTTTACTTGGTCCTAAGGACCTCCATAAAGCTGCAGGTCATCAGCGTAACTATGAAAGGTTACATTAAAAGAACGTAAAAGAACACCAAGAGGCGGCAGGTACATAGAAAACAACAATGGTCCAAGTACAGAGCCCTGAGGGACCCCATGCCTCACTGCACAGGTCTCAGAGAGATCATTTTTAAAACTAACAGTCTGAGACCTCCCAAGCAGGTAAGATCTCAGCCATCATAAAACATTTCCTGTAATTCCAATAAAATGTTCAAGCCTATCCAATAAAATGCAGTGATCCACAGTGTCAAATGCAGCACTTAGATCCAACAGTAATAAAACTGAAGTGCGATCGTTGTCTGCATTTACCAGCAGATCATTTACCACTTTTACTAAAGCTGTTTCTGTGGAGTGATTTGGTCTAAAAGCAGACTGAAATGGTTCAAACAGATTGCTTGTTGACAAATGCTCAGTGAGCTGCTTAAAAACCACTTTTTCAAAGACTTTAGCATGCTCCGATGATGTCGGGTAAACAGGAAGAAGGCAGCGCTGTTTGAGGCCAAAATAAAGTCCTAAATGGGGAGCTTGATAAATCATGAAT